CAAGCATTTTCTGCATGTACATAAGGTGCCTGTCCATGGACAAGCATGTCCTAAGTGTACACAAAAAAGGTGCCTGTCCATGGACAAGCATGTTCTGCATGTACACAAAAAAGATGCCTGTCCATGGACGAGCATATCCTGCGTGTACACAAAAAAGGTGCCTGTCCATGGACAAGCATGCTCTGCATGTACATAAGGTGCCTGTCCATGGACAAGCATGTCCTGCGTGTACACAAAAAAGGTGCCTGTCCATGGACAAGCATGCTCTGCATGTACATAAGGTGCCTGTCCATGGACAAGCATGTCCTGCATGTACATAAGGTGCCTGTCCATGGACAAGCATGTCCTGCGTGTACACAAAAAAGGTGCCTGTCAATGGACAAGCATGTCCTGCATGTACATAAGGTGCCTGTCCATGGACAAGCATGTCCTGCGTGTACACAAAAAAGGTGCCTGTCCATGGACAATTATGTCCTGCATGTACACAAAAAACGCGTTTACAAGTGTTATTTACCAAAATAAGACAACAAAAGTTAGTTCAGTTATTGATTGTTATACCAGATGTAGAATAACATGAAAGGAAATGTAAAAATAAAAAAACTAAAGGATAATGTTTGGTCGGTAATTTATGACCATGTAAGAAGATACATAACTGCGACAAGTGAGAAAAAAGCTATTGTTACAAAAAACAGTTGCTGACAAATTATGTCAATGAAATGCAGGATAAATATGATAAAAAACATTAAATACTTTTTTTTATTAAATTCTGTTAAATGTATGAATAATATAATTAATAGTTTGCCATGAAAGAGATGAAAATCATTGTAATCCATTTTGGTAGTTGTAATATGGCTAGCATAAAATGGTATAGTGAAATTGGCAAGTGTATATTGTCAATTATCATAATTACATCTAAATTGGGATCAGTAAAAAATATATGATGAACAATGAATGAACAAATGAATGAATTGATTGTATATTAAGAAGTGTCACACATGGCGTACATAGAAGATACATATATACATACACACAGCAAACAGTATAATACTAACCATATGAGGCTAGTTCTGGCCAAGGAGACACTCTAAATACTATTATACAAAGGATGATATAAGCAGTGATAATACAGTATATACAAAATGTCATTCATCTCTCAATGTCTTTACATATAAGGTGAGAAACCAACATACAGAATTTTTAGAGAAACTTGAAATATGAAGACTTTATATTTCACTGTCTACAATCAGTTTGCTTTGACGAAGATCAGATGATTACAATAAAGTTCATTTTGTATTTTGTATGTTCCTAAATAACAACACAAAGGTAATTGAATGTTATTAATTTGTTTTAAACTTCAAATGACATCTGCACATCTTCCCGAGGCAAAAGAGTGAACTAATTTTTAAGTCCAGTTTCCACCCTTGCCGAACTAGGCTGGAATTCCTGGGTTCAATCCTAGAGCCACCAGTGGCTGTTATGAGTTAATGTCCCTTCTATGCCTCTCCTATGGACCAATCAGATTCCACCTCTCGTATCACTTGCATTTGCTTCAAACAAAATGGTGGCGCCCAGTCAAGACAATCAGATCGACAATCAAGATCTATATTGTGATAAAACGGCTCTTACATTGTGAAGTGCATCCAATCACGTGAGGAACTTGATTAAAAACTTGAAAAGATTTGGAAAATATCTGTTGACGAGTTGGCAGTGCACATGCTTTGCAAATACTGCAACCGACTGAACTGCATGACAGTTTACGAACAGGATTTCAATTTTGGTGCACAATTTTATTTGACTATGCATAGACTCGTTAGTCCAGCCAAAACCTAACTCCATAATACCAGCCTAGTTCGGCAAGGGTGGAAACTGGACTTATAGTCAGTTAACTCTCTCGCCTCGGGAAGATGACATCTGCATTGCACTTTGTCATAATATTTTGCTTGGTATCTTTAAATAATTGTCCATGTATATTGTCAAACACTATGACATGCATGATTTTTGAACAGTCAGTATCAGTATATTGAAAAAATATTTATATATAATTTGGACACATCTACATTTAATGCTTTGGGGGTTAAATTAAAATGACAATACTAATTATTTGCACAGTTTTAATCAAATGGGATAAACAATTTGTTTCACAAATATATCTTAATACTATAGCTGTCTTTTAGTTTACTGGGGCGGTCGGGTAGCCTGGTAGTTAAAGCGTTCACTCGTCACGCCGAAGACACAGGTTTGATTCCCGACATGGGCACAATGTGTGAAGCCCATTTCTGGTGTCCCACGCCGTGATATTGCTGGAATATTGCTTAAAGCGACATAAAACCAAACTCACTCACTTGTAGTTTACTAAGATTAACATTGGGTCTGAATGTAGGTGCTACAAATGAATGTAGGTGCTATGACAAAAAGAGGATGTAAATGTCCTATACATCTATTTATGCATCCAACACACACATATATATATGTTCTGGAAATGGCAGTATGATTTTTTAATTGCTTTAACAAATGTCCGATTTTAAGAGCATAAGCAAAAACAAATGATACAATTATCGGTCGTGTTCGTGTTCGTTTTCGTGTTCGTGTTCGTGATTACTTTCAGATTGACCAAAAGTTGATTCTAAGCTAACAATCGCCACCAAATATGTGCAAGTGTCTGCTATTCAGTAGCAATCACTGTTGCTAATGGACCCATGAAGATCCGGGGTAGAACAGGTCTTCAGCAACCCATGCTTGCCCTAAAAAGCGACTATGCTTGTCGTAAGAGGCGACTAACGGGATCGGGTGGTCAGGCTCGCTGACTTGGTTAAAACATGTCATCGATCCCAATAGCGTGGATCGATGCTCATGATACCAATCACTGGATTGTCTGGTCCAGACTTGATTATTTACTGCTGTCACATAGCTGGAATATTGCTGAGTGTGGCGTAAAACAACAAACCAACCAACAAACTGTTGCTGATGAAGGGGCAATAGGAATCTGTTTAAGCTTGGCTACCCCTCTGCAGGTCACAAGTTGACACAGTACACATTGGTTGAATGAATTATTTGATTTTCATGCCCACCCACCCCACTGACAAATGCCAGCCTGATCTACAGACGAACAACATGGCAATGTGTGTCATCGTGTGTCAAGACTGGTTCTTCTCTTACATTGACGTTTAATATTTACTTGAACTTGGCGGAAGTCCCGAGTTTCATCATAAGCTCATCAGCTTTTATCTATGCTGAGTGAACTACTAAAGAAATGTTTGGGTCCCCACTGTGTTGCAAAAACAAATATATTTCTTAAAAGGTTTTCTTAACTTTAAGCAGCAGAATATCTGCACTTGTGCACAACAGATGTAATTCAACATTAACATAGAGTTTTTATTAGTTTCAATAATTTAAATAATAGTAAATGCACTATCGTGTCACTGGATTTTCGGGTCCATCGATCACTTGTCTGGTTTGTTTACAGGTTTCATGGCAGGACAGGCAATAAATAGTTACTTCTTTACTTCACTGTGGGAACCTTCCCTTAAGCATAGACTAGGGCTGGGACCAGTCCAAATTTACTACCTGGGTACCCGCCCCCCAATTACCCGACCCCCTATTACCCGACCCTACCCGGGTACCCACTGCAAGGGAACAAAATGTCTGATTGGTAATTGTTTTACTGCAGCCCTACTATTTAGATACATGTATCAAACAATCAGATCATGCGTTCACTGAAGTAGACTGATGTTTTATCTTTACTCAAACATATAAAAGTCAAAGGAATGTGTGCATCATCAGAAAGAGACTTGTAGTGTAACCACTGAGCTACAATAAGTTTTTGGCATTAAACCATATATCACGTAACTAACCACGGGTCCGGGTAGTCCTGTGGGTACCCGGGTCCTACTCTGGACCGACCCGACCCGAGTACCCGAGTTACCCGTCCCAGCCCTAGTATAGACACTAGCAGATACTTTGGAAACTTGTTGATGCTGAATTATTAATAAGTCACTGATGTCAGGAGGTATCAAATCTTTATATTATACCTCTGATTTACAACAATCATAATACACAGTGGGTATGTAGGAAAAGACATGTCAATATTCAGGTTCGGTTCTTCATGTGCATATCCTGCCCTGTTCTTTAAATTGGTACTGCTAGGACCTCCCAGTCATACATAAATAAATAAGCTTGACAAAGGCGGAATTTTTGGTCAAGAAAATATTTTTACATTTGGCAGATTAAAAACACCAACAGTCTTTTTAGATAACACTACATTTATCTCATGCATAATATAACTCACATTCCCTTTTGAAAAGACAAATAATCACAAAAGGGATTTTGTTACCTTAAATACACTAGGCAAATTGAACAAAAACATATTGACCATATATTTGAGTACCAAAGTGTGACTCCACTCAACATGCTCAACCAGAATCAATATAGCCCTGCAGGCTGATGAAACATATCATATACTCCAGGTGTACAAGTGTGGTAAACCTGTTACACCTTCACTTGCAAATGTACAATATTTACTACTTTAACTATCATAATAGTATTATATAGGAAAAGTGGAGGAATATTAACCATGTATTTACTAGATACGACTAGATGAACTATTTAAATGTTTGGACAGTTATGAGCACTGAGGGGAGACTTGTCTTAAGAACCAATCCTTCCTAATTTTGACATACAAATTTTAAATGTTCTCAGTTCTTGGTTTAACATACTCTATCAAATGCACCATGATAGCATAGTTGAAAATGTCCTCATTAATCAATTGACAGAAATAGGGTAAAAAATGAAATACTGCTGCAAAAAGTAACTTGTTTGCCTTTATAATTTAATAATAAACAATACAAACCAGTGACTCAGCTGAAGACACATGGCATTAGGACATTTCCGCAACATTATCAACATTTGAGAGCTCCTCAATAGAATTACCAAATTTGATAAAAAAATTATTTGGATGATTATCTGTCAATATCCTAGAAACCCCAAACTCATAATAGACATACCTCAGTATCATCTTCATAATTGGTAAGGCCCATGGCGACAGCTAGTATCCCATTCACTGTTGCTTTGTCAGAGAGTGGAATAAAGACTGTTATCTCTGTGATTCCAAAGACTGTGATGGCGCCAATGATCTAGTTCCAAGTACTTAATATTCTGGGTTTAATCTGTACAAATAGCAGCCAAAGGTGACATAACCACGTGACCTAGAGTGATAACGATTTGGCCAGGTGCTATAACGATGTGTCCGGGTGACATGAGAATGTACTAGGCTTGCCTTCACAGCGTTAGATAAATTCAAAAAGTGGAACAATCACACCATGTTTTCAGGGTAAATCTAGGTTACCTATAAGTCACCACATTAAATCGTGACGTGACACTCATGACATGACAAAACTATGAAGACAAGAAACTTTTTGAGGATAACATCATAATTTATTTATTATCCATAAAATTGTTTTCTGTCTACAAGTTATTCCAATATTAAAAGCCTATCAAAGACTCCATGACAAAACTAAATGCCAATTCTCTGATGTTGTACCATGGATAAGTGTCGGTCCCTTTGATCTTATCAGTGGTGTAACAAATAGTTATACCACACCTGTTTATAGGCTGCAACCCTTATTGTTGATTGGCTGATGGAAGCCACACCTACCAGGTGTTGTCTGTTGCAACATTGCACAAGTGTTTTGTCTTGACCTCGCTGTTTAAAATGTTCAATGTACAGTTACAGACAAACATGGTATGCAGTGGACTCTGGGTACACCAGCTTCCACAATTACCCTTCATCCCGAGAATAGACTTGCTTTCCTCTGTCAGGGGTTCTGCTTGTTTTGCACAGGTTCCAAAACCATCGGAAGCAAGTTCCGTCATTTGTGCATTATGGACACTTCGAAAGGGAGTAGTCGTTCCGATTAACATAAATAAGTTTATGTAATTTCCCTGTTCTCTCATGTTTTTTAGCAATCCACACATTATCAAGTGCAGCATTTTGGGGGGGATAATGAGAGCCATCAACTTAATGAGCTTCCATCACAAACTTGGTCAACCAAGTATTCACATTTTCAAAGGAAAAGACTTGTAGATCAGGCATTGTCTTACCATTCTGCTGATACTGCCACTTTTCAAAACTTCCACGTGACCATTTGGTATTTTTAAGAGGGTTCTTACAGCAGATTCTTCAAATTCAGCAAATTGGTGATTTTCAACATCCACCATGTGGGCTGCACTAGATGTATCCTTAATGTCCATTTCATTTTCAGGTTCAGAATCGAGTGGAGTCACAATATGTTGCCTTCTCTAACAATGTGTTGCCTTCTGTTACAATATGTTGCCTTCTCTAACAATGTGTTGCCTTCTGTTATAAAGTGTTGCCTTCTGTTACAATATGTTCTGTTATAAAGTGTTGACTTTTCTTACAATGTGTTACCTTCTGTTATAAAGTGTTGCCTTATGTTACAATATATTGCCTTCTGTTAAAAAGTGTTGCCTTCTGTTACAATATGTTGTCTTCTGTTACAATATGTTGCCTTCTGTTACAATATGTTCTGTTATTAAGTGTTGACTTTTCTTACAATGTGTTGCCTTCTAGATCTGTTATAAAGTGTTGCCTTCTGTTACAATATATTGCCTTCTGTTAAAAAGTGTTGCCTTTTGTTACAATATGTTGCCCTCTGTTACAATATGTTCTGTTATAAAGTGTTGACTTTTCTTACAATGCGTTGCCTTCTGTTATAAAGTGTTGCCTTTTGTTACAATATATTGCCTTCTGTTAAAAAGTGTTGCCTTCTGTTACAATACGTTGCCTTCTGTTATAAAGTGTTGCCTTCTGTTACAATGTGTTCTTTGTATTGTTTAAATTTCAGAGAAATAAGAAGAGAAGCAAGATGTTAGGCAGAAGGGGTTTGACCAGTCTCAAACCATGAAGACCTCTCACCCTCAGCCCAGAGGGTGGTGCCAGCTCTCTGTGGCATCCCCAGCTATATTTTCAAATATTGTTATTTTTGACTCTCGAAGTCATAAATGGCAGTGAATAGGCATCTTTTAACAACAGTCTGTATCATGTTCGTCAGCATCACCTAGCTTACCCTACACTTTCAGTAGCTGGAATACATTAACTCACCTCACATCCATCTTGACATTAATGACCAAGTCTGACATTATTATGGGAGCTTTCAGGCAGATATTTCTATTTCTGACTATATATGCCACATACTTAGCACTTCAAGTCAGCTACAACAGTTTATGCTCACCTAAATAACTGTATGACCTTTTTCTTTCTTATTCCCTTGGCCTTGCAGCCTCCGTAATTTAAAAAAGGAAAATATCCTCAATAAATCACTTTCTTAAATTACAAAAAAAACAGATTTTTCTTATTGTTTTAAATCAATTAATATATTTGGCTTTCATTTTCGTAGCTTGTTGAAAATACAAATATTTTCCTACAACGAAGTATACATCTTTGAAATAAATGAACTAGGGAACAAACTATTATGTGATAATAAAAATAAAACTTTTTCAGATGAAATAAATATATCATCATTCACCTGATGAAGGAGTAAGCATGTACTCCCAAACATTGTGTTCCTCATAATAAAGAAGTTGACATCCATAAATTCTCTTCCTTATGTGTATCACTTCTAAATGCCTTTCAAAGACCTGAAAATAAATATAGTGTCGGATCATAGGTTTTCGGACATCATACGTTTTCGGTCGGCCACATTTATTGCGACATTGTAAATACTCAAGTGATGGCTTGTTTTTTAGAGAAAGTTGTCTTTCATAGTGAATGAGATGTTTTACAGTTGTTCATGTGATTAGAGAGAAAACTATGAATGTTTTTTAAGTGTCCGAAACCCCATAACATGGGGATAACCCACAGTAATGACAAGGATTATTTTTCTTTGGACAGTCTCTTGCAGTTTGACAGGTTCAAGATGAGAACAATGTAATCATATTCAATACACAAATCTGGAGATGCCAGAACAGTGATAACCCAGAAACATAATCGGAGTGAGCCGGGATTCAAACCCCCATTCATAGGTTTCTGACGTGCCCAAGGGATGCAACTCTGCACATCGAATCATGGCGCCTTAGATAACTGGGGCCCGTGCCCCACAGCTTTGATTAATGTAAACTACCGTATTCGATGTAATAAGCGCCCAGGGCGCTCTCAAAATTAGAAATAGGGGGCTCTTATAAGAATATTAATTTAGTGGAAAGAGTTAAAAGATAAATTTCGTGGTTTATGCTGACAGCCTGAAATGTTTATGTACGACAGATATATTTTTCCAGAATGTAATTGCCCATAATTAAGTGTGCATATAACACATGAATGCGTATTATACGCGAATAAATAAGTCCTGTGTACGTCGATCAATCGGAAGGGGTGCTAATTAGGATTGTTCATTGGCCAATATATTAGCAAATATCGCCGTGGGCGCTTTTTAGAGCGGGGCGCTTATTACGTCGAATACGGTATTCACAATGAATGAATATTGAAAAATGTGGTAAAAGTCTCTCCTTTATCATTGAGAGAAGATAAACAGGGTGTAAAATGGTTGCCTTGACTCACAATGGTGTTTGTTATCTCATCAGAAGGATTGTTTCATATATGTTCTACATTACTTCAGTGTTATCTTGATGAGTTTGCATTATTTTTGACAGTGGAAAATTATAGAACTAAGGAATAGCATTGATAACGGTTATTCATTTGGTAGAGTATTCTGATACTCCAAAATACTTGAAAATATCCTGACCATTCTTTGGCGTAATACAAACTTCCTCAAACAGTAAAATTGTGTTTGTCCAGAGTCTGTGGACTGGAGACATGCTTTCAAGGTCCCGGCTGTACAAAACAACCATAGCGCTACGACTGCCATTTGTCTATGTTAAGGTATGGAGTTACGATCACCTTAGCGCTAATATCACCTTGTATAATGGCACCCTGGATAATTCTGTTAGGAAGGAATATGTGTGAATAAAGGATATTACTGTGAAATAATGACTTGTTAATGTAGATATTTGCTTATCTGGACAATATAACTGGAACTGTACCAACAACAAAATTAGTTCACATAAAAATGCATTTAATTGTTCAAAATGGAGCATTTTTTAATTGTTTATTTATTTCCACAAAACCGAAGAATTTTCTCTCTATTACATGCACAGGTGACTGGACAATGGTCAGGCACCATGGATGAGCTAATTTGTCCAAACTGTAAATATTACTTTACACAAGTGTCGGTATTATTAAAGCCCTGCTCGCTGCTCTCAGATGGCCGGCCAGTCTGACAACCAGTCTGTGTGTGTGTGTGGCAGCTGGTCAAGCTGACCCTGCTGTGGGCACACGGGGCATATAGATTACAATGCATAATCAATAAACTTGAATGACATTTATGACCAGATGGCGATCATTCAATCTATGGCAAACTGTATCATTACTTGTATCAAACACTTATTGCAAATGGTAGTCTGATACAAATATTTAGTGTAATTTTTGTAGTCGGTTACAAATATTTAGTGTAATTTTTGTAGTCTGATACAAATATTTATTATAATCTTTGTAGTCTGATACAAATATTTATTGTAACTGGGGGTCTAATTGTAATATTTATTCTAATTGGTTGCCAGATACAACTATTTTCTCTTAATGTCAAATATCTGTTATGCTTACAATGCCAAATTATCTAAACTGTTAGCATAGCATATGTTTCACTCCACATATATATTCCCCAGATAAATTAAGTTTAGAAAATATACTCTGTAACTTCAAGCTCCACCTATAGGCTGTTCATAAACTTGATCACCTTATTTTCAAAATCACCTAAGTAAATTTGTGAAAAAAGTAGTTTTTTTGTTTTTTTAATGTTTTATTCAATTCAGAGGGTACATAGCATTGTGTTCATAGTCATTGTATCATAAGAGGCATCAACTTACAAGGTACATATCATGAGAAGAAGGTACAGCATGTAACATGACAGTAGGTTCAAATACTGATGTACCTTGTAATAATTGTAAAAGATATTAATTCAGCATGGCAAGGGGCGGTCGGGTAGCCGAGTGGTTAAAGCGTTCGCTCGTCACGCCGAAGACCCGGGTTCGATTCCCGACATGGGTACAATTTGTGAAGCCCATTTCTGCTGTCCCCCGCCGTGATATTG